AGAGAAAGGTCATTACTGCCATTCAGCAATGACTAGAAATTCCTTATGCACTTTTTGCATGAGAAAGAAAATAATTTTGTGGTTTATTGTTTTGATGATTAGAAATAATAGGTTATAGGAAGAACGGAATTATGATGAAATTGGAGACGGGTTTGAGTAGAACTGCATGTTTAATTGCCGAGAGGAATATCGGAAGCCATTTCTTTACATACATTTTTTTTTTCATGCTTTCTGTCTTTTTATTTTCTTCTTTTTTCTCTCTGTTTTTCTTTTCCACACTTATCTTGCTATATTTCTTTCTTTCTTTTTTTCTTTCTTTGAATGTATTCTTATTCTCTATGTAAAATCTATTAATAAAAAATTACTTTAAGAAAAAGTTATGTGTCCCATCCCTTGAAGAAAAAGTCAGAATAAGAAAAGGAATGAGAGAGAAAGGGAAGTGTCAGAAAGAGAAACCCAAAAGGGTGGCATCCTTCAGCTATGCCTACAGTTGGGTTTGCAGTACTGATCCTCTATAGCAGAATTCACTGTTGACCAAGAGGTGGCTTGGATGATACTTCTCTCATGATTGAGTGAGGGAGAGCAAGCCTTCGACATCCTTTGACCACACGGTCCCTGCCTCTGGTATTCTCTGAAGAGAAGATCTGAATACCAGCTAAGGGCTTGGTACAGATGGTGATCAGTTATGAGGTCTTTGGAAATCAATAGTGCAAAATGTGTCTGCAGAGACTGGATTTAAGTTTTATAGCCTTTGTTTAAACTTGAGAGACACATAGAAAATGCCATATCAGCTATATCAGCTAAGTAGAAATAAAATGCTCTCCCTTATCCATATTTCAGGTATATCAGGGAGCGATAGTCTAGACTCCAGCATATCTGCATCACTGCAACTTGGCCAAAGAATTAATCCTTTAGAGCAGTACTTTCCAAACTGTTCTATTTAGAGATCCTGACATTCCTTGGAAGTTTACTAGGTCTTCCCCATAACTGCAGACTGGTTTCCCTGAAAAACAGTCTGGCCTTCACTAATATGCAGTTGTTTTCCTACCAAAGACTGTTGCAGAAAAGGGTTTGGATGAAGGCCAGGGCAAATTCTCATTCACAGTTCACGTAGAACATGACATGTCTCTATAACATATGAAATTGTCCTTACAAGATGGAAAGTTTTAAAACTACAGGCTGGGAACTTGTTATTTTAGCTACTGAAAATTCAAAGTGCTTTTCACAAAGAATGGTTATTTCTGTGTCATTACAATAACTATAATTCAGACCTAATGATATACACTAGAAAAGTGATCTCCAACCTCTTTGGGTTAGTAGATTATTTGGACTTTTGAAAACATGGTCCCAGCATTCTTGTGCATTGACAAAATGACTGGGAGGCAAAACCTGTTACAAAGCACCAATTTCCCAAAATACTAATTAGCCCCTCCAGCCCCCCACTCCCACATTGGTGCTCCTGGGCACCAGGCTGAAGGCCCTGGCACTTGATACTGAATAGCACTCTAGTATCTCAATTTAGTTTGTTAAACCACATAACCTTTTGAAATGAATTACAGACATGGAAACACTATAAAAAACCATGAGATTACTATCTCCATATCCCGGATGTTGGAATTGTTAATGGAGCTATCTTCATTCATGAATGGATTTAGCTCAGTGATCATCTAGTTATCAATCAGAGACATGGCTTTCCCACTCAGCTTCATACCACACCCTCCCTGTCTTCATTAGTGCTCTGGCTATGTTTTAATAGCTGGTATTTGTGTTTTTAATAGCTGGTATTTGTGATGGGGGTATCTGATCCAATGCTTGAGTTAAATATAGCCCTGTCTAGTGTAAGGAGAAGATTTAATGGGAAATGGTTAGCATTCTTTCTTTCTAAAGAACAGAGAGGGAGAGACAGGGAGAGACATGCACACATAAACATCTCCGACCAGTGAGAGGCTGAAAGGAGGAAAGGCAGGCAGGCAGAGAGGAGAGTGGTCAAGAAAGCATACAGCTCACAGCCAGAATGGTCATCGTCAGCTGGATTGCATTCGGATTTTATCTTCAGCTCCTTTTCTGCTTGGCTGTGTCTCCAACCTCTTTTGTCGACAGTGTTTTCTCCATTTCAGCAGGTAAATGACAACCTTGCTTTGCCTCTTGGTGAGTTACATATCTTCTCTTAGGTGGTTTTTTTTTAAAAAAATATGTTTTATGTTTCTAATTCCTTCTCATCACAAAGGCTTTGAGAAACTTGATTGCAAATGCAACTCCCACTCCCCAATATATACTTTTTAATATTTTATCTCATTCCTGATCTAAGACTGAACATCTCCTATTTAACAGTAAACCAATCCATATTCCCAGGAAATATACCCCCTCCTGTAATAAAGCTCTGGTGGTTTATTTCGGCAGTTGATATTCACGTGAAGATCTGTTATTTTGCTTGGACATCAGGGAGGAGAGATTAATCATATTGAATATCCATTTTGGTTAACATATCCCTGACATTGTTGGACCTAACTTGAAATGAGCAGGGTAAACATCTTCTGAAAAATAATACTGACGCTATCAAAAACTCAAACAACTTTCGTAGCCAATTGCTGTAAAAAAGCACTGCATGGAAAAACTTGACCATCACCCAGTGTGAATTGTCAGAGTGAAGGGAGTCTTATTTACCACTCTAATCCTGTAGGCTTTCCTTCAGCTGTGTGCGATGGAAAATAGATAGGGAATAGGAAATACCTTCCTTTCAATTATTTTTTTCAATACCATTCTCGGGGGAAAGGTTTCTTTACCGGTAGGCATAATGGAGGTCCCAATCATTTGGATGGCTGCTTTTGAATTCAGCTTTTAGTTTTCATGCTAACTGGCTGTCATTTTTGTCTGGATGACATTAGTTACTACAGTGTGTAGATTTTAAAGGTGAACTTCATGGCTTTCTCAAAAAAAAATGCTAACTTCTTAAAATTATTAAAGGCAACAGAGGGAAGCATTCTGAGGAAATTCTCTTAAGAATCAGATTGGATGTAACTATTGCATAAGGCATTTAGCATTTCTTTAAAATATTGATTTTCAGATTTAGGTTTCTTGTAACTGCCAAAACTTCAGTATAACTTCGTGGCTCTAATATTTTAATGAGTCATCTACATAATTGTGCCTTTACTGCACTATGTATAGCTAGGCATATTAGAGTTATAAAGTGCTTATTAAAAAATATTAGGGTTTTTTTTGCTGAAAGACACTTTAAAACTCACAGCAGTTAGATTTAAATACAAAATACTGTTTAAGACCCTGCCATCCTTCCCTTCTTGTCCTTGTCTTTCATAAATGTTTATGTAATTTTGTAAGTTGCAAAGATAGAACAATATCTTCTTTGATGAAAAAAAAAAGACTCAGGTTGCAATACTATCCCTCCTTATGCAGGAGTAAACCCTGTTACCCCTGTTTAAACTGTGTTTATTTAATAAACATTAATAAATATTAAATAATAATAATAAATAAATAAATGATAAAAATAAATATTAAATAAACCCTGATGTGAGGTTGGCCTCATCACTGTTGAGCTTCTGGAGATCCCTTAAGACTTGGTTATGCCAGCAGGCCTGGGGACCCCAGGGGATGGGGAGTTACTGAGGAGGCTCCCTTATTTTTAACATCCTTTTATTCTCTGTTTTATTTTGCTTTTTATATTTTTAATGTGTTTATTGACTGTTTTTATCTTTG